GAAAACACATTCCTAAGGAAACTGTCAAATCAGAGTAGAAACATTTATTTTTTATGTTTATTTTTGAAAAAGACAGAGCGGGGGGCGGGGGGGCGCAGAGAGAGAGGAAGACACAGAATCTGAAGCAGGCTCCAGGCTCTGTCAGCACAGAGCCCGATGTGAGGCTCAAACTCACCAACGACGAGATCATGACCTGAGCTGAAATCAGACACTCAACCGACTGAGCCACCCAGATGCCCCTGAGTAGAAAAATGTATTAAGCACTGTGTACAGAGTGCTATTGGGCCAAATTGAGGTTTTTAAATATTCCAGTCAGTTTTATATCCTCCACAATGTCTTAGGTGTTAATTTCAATAAACAGTGAATTGGATCCAACATACTTTAACGTGATATTTATTGATCTACTAAGTTATTTATTTTTTAAAAAATACTGCTTCATTCTTGCCTTGTTTTATTCTTTTTTAAGTTTATTTATTTATTGGGGGGCAGGGGGTGAGGGATGGCAGAGGGAGAGAATCCCAAGCAGGTTCTGCACCATCAGCACAGAGCCAAACATGGGGCTCAAACCCACAAACCATGAGATCACGACCTGAGCCAAAGTTGGACACTTAACTGACTGAGCCATCCAGGTGCCCCAATCTAACTGAATACAACACTGTGATAGAAGATGTACAGACACAAAAATAAATAAAACATGTTTTTATATATGCAATAACTTGACCTCTTTAGAACACATAAATACAAACTATGCCTCTATCTAGCTTCCTTAACACATCATTTCTTTACTGGCTACACATTTTTTATTTCTTTTAGAAAAAAGAATCAAGTGACTACTGAAAGACCTTTTGTTGAATTTAGTTCAGATGGCTCCTTACCTTGATTAGAGTTGCTTTGAGAACTAGAGTCAAACAGTACTGGCTCATCAACATATCAAGAACAGCATCTAGTTATCACTTAGTAAGCCCAAGATAAATGTTAGCTATTAGTAGATTTCAGTTTAAACATTAAAATCTAAGAAGATATTGGCACATATAGAACTTGCTGGTCTGAAAGTTACAAATTATATACCAAAGACACACACGAGCTTCAAACATGTACTGGTACAAAGTAAGCACTCAGATATTTGTTGAATGAATGAAAGAATCAATCACTTTGACAGGACAAAGGACCAAAGACTATATATCCTACATACTCATCACTGAAAAAGGGGGGAAAAAAACCCAAAAAACTCTGGTTCAGAAAATGTCAGATATAATAAAATTATATTTTTTAAATTGTTATCCTATAATAACAATAGAAGTGATGCAAATATGAAGAGGAAATAGTCATTAGCATCAAAGAGTTCCATGTGAAGGGTATACAAATAATTACTCCAAAACTTAAGTGCTGTAACAGAGGTGTACTATGCCAAGTTCCTGGAGTGCAGAATCTCGCCAATGTCTTAGCACCATGCCTGGCATATAGTAGGTCATCAAGAACAAATGCACACATGCTGTGGACGATAAGACATAGCAACTGCCAAGTGTCCTGAAGGGGAATGTGTTCACAAAGCACGATCACTGGACTTGGGTCTAGCAAGGTAAGCAGGAATTTACAAATCAGCACTGCAGGCAAAAGACCAAGCACAAGGAGACAAAGACTGCAAAAGCATGCAATATGCAAGCAACAAGCTCTGGAGAGGAGGTAGCAAATATAAGTGGGGTCACACTGTCTACCAGTTTTACATATCACATAGGCAAAAGAGCAGGGACAAGATTTTGAAGTGCAGCATGAGTAGGTCTACTTTGGCAAGTGTGGATGAATTCAAAGAGATAAAACTAGAGGCTGGAAGTTCACCTTAAGGCAGTCACTGCTATGGTTAAAGCAAGAAATAATGAGAGCAGGATTTCAAGCACTCATAAACATGACAAGAGCTTTCTCCAAAACTGGTGGCTCCTGACCCCTTAGTGCAACTCAGAGTCTACATAAGAAATCTGCAGCACTAGGTCCGGGCCGATGTTACGATTGTTCAGAGGTCATCCCTCATTGCCAGTGATGGCACCGACCATTTTTACTCACCTGTGCCATTAAAACCACAGTTATTACTTCTAACTTAATCCTACTTAGTTACTACTATCGTTAGCTATTACTTATAACTTATCCTATAATACTAACTTATCCTTTGAAAAGAAAGTTGTTTGCAGAGTGTGTTCATATTTTGGAAACTGAAGCATCAAATTTGATCTTTTTAAAAGGCAATCACAGATAAGGGAAAAGAATCCGTTAATTTTGCATTGCCCCCCAGTGTCTGCATAAACCACTCAAGCGTATTATTTTTCACACAGAAGCCTACCTAGAATTTTAAATTAGAAAAGCACACGGCCTGGGGCCTAGACAGCTAGGCCTTGTAAACCAAGCGCTGTGTATTCACAGCTTACGCTCTATCGTGCCGGAAATCTCTAGCCTCTGATAAAACGTTAAAGTCTCAAGCACAACTTTATAACAAAGCCATTCCTGCTGATAGCAAAAAAAGGAGGACAAAGGCCAGGTTGAATCTGCCCTCCAGCATCAACGAGGAGAAAAGGATGGCAGGACAGGAACTCCGGGTCTTGGATGTGCCGGACTGTTGTGTCCCGGGCACTCCCGGAGCCCTGCACCCGAACTCGCACGATGAAAGCCGTTGTTAAAGCACAGCAGATGAGGGCACCGGGCGGGACAGGCGGCCGGGGTGGGTGGGCGGCCGGTACAGGCCGGAGCGGCGTCGGCACGAGCGGGGAGGAGCGGCCCCCGCGCGGCCTGCGTGCCCACTCAGCGTCTCCCTCACTATCGCCCCAGGGCCTCGCTGCAGTGGTCGCCTCTGCACCAATCCTCAGAGAAGAGGTAAAGCTAAAGGGGCTGTTACCTGGAGTCCCTGCAGAGACCACTGCGGGGCCGCGAAAACGAAGTTAAGCCACAGGCGGCCCAGGCGCCCGCCACGGCGACCCTTCCCGACCCTACTAAACTTCTGGCGCGCGTTGATAATGTCACTTCCGCCAGTTCTTCCATCCTAGGCTTCAGCCAATTGTCCAACTAGAGTGGCGGCCATGGGAAGTGTGGGCACTCCGTCACTTCCGCTGTTTCCGCAACAGTTCCGCTGGGTATTTGGCTTAAGGGAAAGAAGGGGCGGGCTGAGCTCCCCGGGAGTTCTAGGGGGTGAGCCGCCGGACCAGAACGTTTTCTGATTGGTCCTTGCCGAGGGGAGGCAAGATAATGATTTTCAAATGTTGACTTTTTGAAGTCTAGCGGTGTGACCTTCGGCAAGTTACCCGACCTCAGCGCCTCAGTTAGTAGAATGGAATAATAGTAACGGTCACCCTCTAAGGAAGTTGTGAGATGGATTAAGGAAATGCAGGAGCAATGCCAGGCACATGGTAAACTCTCCGCGCATGTTAGCAATTTTCAAACTTGGAGAATGAAAAGAAAAAAAACAGCCTGGTTTACAGGTTCAATTCTATTTTGTTTCTGCTACTACCATTTTATGCACTCTTGTCACACTTGCCACAAAGAGACTGTTACTGAACCCCAAATTCTGCTGCCCCTGGCTTGAAAAGGCAATACTCAGGAGATGATTTTGACTGAAAAGGAATACGAGCTTTGTTCAAGAGG